GGGTTAAGGGTTAAGGGTTAAGGGTTAAGGGTTAAGGGTTAAGGGTTAAGGGTTAAGGGTTAAGGGTTAAGGGTTAAGGGTTAAGGGTTAAGGGTTAAGGGTTAAGGGTTAAGGGTTAAGGGTTAAGGGTTAAGGGTTAAGGGTTAAGGGTTAAGGGTTAAGGGTTAAGGGTTAAGGGTTAAGGGTTAAGGGTTAAGGGTTAAGGGTTAAGGGTTAAGGGTTAAGGGTTAAGGGTTAAGGGTTAAGGGTTAAGGGTTAAGGGTTAAGGGTTAAGGGTTAAGGGTTAAGGGTTAAGGGTTAAGGGTTAAGGGTTAAGGGTTAAGGGTTAAGGGTTAAGGGTTAAGGGTTAAGGGTTAAGGGTTAAGGGTTAAGGGTTAAGGGTTAAGGGTTAAGGGTTAAGGGTTAAGGGTTAAGGGTTTTTTTTTTATTTTTTTATTCGGTTTTCGCCACTAAGTAGCAGGCCATCTTTTCTGCTTTTGTTCTTTTGTGCTTTTTTATTATTTTTATAAGGGTTATTATTTTTTAACCCTTGGGGATTTATTATTTTTTATTCCCATTGCCTTTTTCAAGGACTTTAATTTACAATTTTTCTTATTTACTTTGTATCTAGTTTATCTAGATTACAATTATCTATTATTATCTTTACAATCCTTTTCTTATATCTATTATTTTACATTATAATATAATATATTATTTAGTTTCTTGTTTTATACTTCTATATTTTACATTACTCTATTTTACCTATCTGTTTACAATTTTCTTTTATATTTTACTCTTTACAATTTGCTGCTACTTACATTCTTATACTATGTATACATTGTGTTGTTTTGTTCTGTTTATAATCTCTATTTCGTTACATTTCAATTATACATTTCAGTCCTTATACTTTGAATCTTTATTCATTTCTACAGTCTTTTTTACAATTTTACATGCGTGTCTTATAAATTTTTTCCTATCTTCTCCATTTATTATTTCCACTAGGTTATCTTTGCTGAGGTTTGTGTTGATGTTCATTTGTAGAGTGTATCTTTCTTTTACAAATATAGGGCATTCCAACAGTACGTGAAAAATATCTTGCTTTTCTTGGGGGTCGCAAATACATGAAGGGGTATCTCTACATTTAAAATTATGGAGGTAAGACCTAAAACCTCCATGCCCCGTTAACAGTTGTGCAGCCCATTTATCCATCTCTATCTTTCTGATTACGGCGAAGGCCCTCTCTCCACTGGGGAAGAAGGCCTTCGTCGCAGCGGCGGTGTTTTCGCTCCTATAACGGCTATCCCATTCTACCTTTGTCAAGTTGCGTAAATGCCTCTTGACAAAGGAGACGGGACAGCGGTCATAGTGCGATTTGCACTTCAACCCGAGCGCCGCTCCCTTCGCCAGCTCGTCCGCCCTCTCGTTCCCGATCACGCCGACGTGGGCCCTGATCCAAAAGAGGGTGATCTTTCGACCATGTTCCCTAAGTTGCATCAGGTTGCCTTGTATCGCCTTCGCGATCGGGTGCGTAGAGTCCGGATCCTGCAGCGATTGAAGAGCGGATCTCGAGTCGCTGAGCACCGCCGCTACATCCCTTTCATTCTTCATTTTCCATTCCGTCGCTTGCAGGATGGCATACAGCTCGGCTTGGAAGACCGTACAGTACGGCTCTAATTTGAACTTGCGGGAAGCGATCTCAACGGCCCCTTTCCAGCAGGTCAGGGCCGCACCGACTTTCCCTTCAAGTTTACTGCCGTCCGTGTAGATCTTAACCAAGCCATCTGCCAGTCTGCCATCCTCTTCCGTGTTCTCTAAGCATTCAAATTCAATAACATTCATGCTGCCGGGGTGGTTCGATTCCATTAGAGATACCCGTTCTTCCACTTTTCTGCCACTTAATATTGTCTGGGGTTTCCCGCGCTTTGCCTCATAAAGACGGGCTGCTTCTTGGACCCGGAGGTCCAGCGGAAGCAGTCCAGACAATATCAGCGCAGAATTAAGCGAGACGGTCTTATAGGTCTTGGCTATTTTTTTGCGCGAACCCCTTCTGTACTGTGTTGAAGACTTTCCTACTGCATATCTTGGCTGCCTCCCTACCCCATACACTCGCTGCGTATAAAATAATCGGCTCTACCACTGCCACATATAATGTTCTAATAATTTCGGGTTTTAAGCCCCATGTTACTTTAGCTGATTTCATTACTCCTTTATATATATTTATTGCCTTATTGTTTATATATTTTATATGTTTGTTGAACGTCAATTTATCGTCGACGATGACCCCCAGGATTTTTATTTCGTTCTCTATTTCGATCTTTTCGTCCCCCATTTTTAATAGGGGTGTATTATATTTTAGTTTTTTTGTTATGACCATGGCTTTAGTTTTATGGGCGGCGAAATTTAATTTATTTGCTTTCCCCCATTCGTTTACTATGTTTAATGCTTTATTAGCTTTTAGTTCTATTTCCTGAGGGTTTTCGACGATATAATGAGCACCACATCGTCAGCAAAGGCCTGGCAGTATATGTCAGCGCTGGTGAGCTCGTCCAGGAGTGAGTCCAAGATTATGTTCCAAAATAGGGGTCCTCCAATGGACCCCTGTACACATCCCTTATTGGTGTCTCTTTGGACTTCATGTCCCGCGTATCTCACCAGCACTGACCTATTCTCCAGGTAGCTTTTTACTAATTTCCTGAGGTTTAGGGGACATTTTTTGTTTTGAAGTTGGCAGTGGATTCGCGGCCACCATGCGTTGTCGAACGCCCCCTCTATGTCCAGCGAGATCAGGGTTGTAATCTCCTTCTCTTCCAGATTAGTCCTGACCCGCTGGATCATATCATAGAGGGAGTCCTCTGTACTTCGCTGCGGCACGAACCCATACTGCCTCGGGTTTAGTTTTGGCAGTGTATGCCATCTTATTCTACGCACCATCATTTTCTCAACTATTTTTCCTAGTACTGATAATAGGCCAATTGGTCTATACGACTTCGGCACCGTATAGTCATCTTTTCCTGGTTTTCTCAGGGTTATAACTGTCGCCTTTTTCCAGGGGATAGGGAAGTGGGAGAGTTCCAGGCTCTTATTGCATATTGCAAGGGCCACGGGGATGTTCGCTTTAATGGCCGCCGCGCATAAATCGGAGGTCAACCCGTCTTCACCCGGCGCCTTCTTTGGATTAAAGGACTCTGTGGCGTGGAGTAGCTCGGCCTCTACAAAAGGGGGGTCACAAACATCATGTTTGCTCCCCTCTGTCGCTTTAGCCGCCCTACGCCTCACCTCCTTGTGTGAGTTGTCCTCTCCTTTTTCTGTGTCTATCGGGTAGAAACACTCTGCGATTCTGCGCGCTGATTCTTCTGGGCCAATAGTTTTCCCTTCTCTCGTAAGTAGCAAATCCTCTCCGTTCTTTTTTGTTTTCCCTATTACCCGATAAATACCCTCCCACATCGTTTCCCTCTCCTGTTTTCCACAAAACTCCTTCCAACTTGTGGTCCTTGCCTCATCCATCTTTTTATGATATGCTTCCCTTGTCGTGGTATATTGCTCAATAACTATTTTTAATCTTTTTTGCGAACTATTTTTTATCCTTTTTCTCATCTTATTTGTTTCTTTTTTCATTTTTTCTAATTCCTCCGACCACCACACTATTCCCGTTCGATTATTCCCTTTTTTTGGTTTGGTGTTTTGTTTCGTCACTTTTATTATTATATTTGTATAGTTTTCTATTAATTTTTCGTATTCATTTACCTCTTTTATCTGTTCTATGTTTTCCTCCGTTATTCCTTCTTTTATTAGTTCTTCTCTCATTTCTTCTTTAAACTTCTTCCAGTTTGTCTTTTTCGTGTTATACTTCCTAGTTGTTTTCCCATTCACATTTGTTTCTTCTTTACCTATTATCCATTCGAAGAGTATTGTATTGTGGTCGGAGGTTGTTATCGTCTCATTCACTCTCCAATTTTGTAAATAGTCCATGATATGTCTACGTGGCTTTTGTATTCTTTATTCGCTCTCCACGTGTGGAAGGTTGGCGTTTTCCCTGAGTTCAATATTTCTAATTCCAGGTCGTGTATTGTGCCTATTAGATTATCTCCTCGATCGTCACTCTTTTCGCTGCCCCACCATTCACTCCATGCATTAGAGTCCCCTGCTAGGACTATCCGACAGCCTTTCTCTTGCTCTACTATTTTTTCAATTTGTGCCAGATATTGCTCGATGTCCTTGTCCGGCTCGAAGTAGAAGGACACGAACACGACCGGCCGCTCGGGTGTCATTATTTTGATTGCAGTTATATTTGTTGTTGTGATGTCGGGGAGTAAATGTATTTTCCAGTTGTTATTGAAAATTAGTATTGCTGTTTTGTTCACCTTCCCCGACATCTGTTCTGCTTGGTACACCCTAACTCCCGACTGTCCGGCCATGATGCCCGTATTTCCGGTGTAGGGTTCTTGAATTAAGGCCATGCTCGCTTTTTTATCTGTGGCTGCCTGAATAAGTTCTGTGGTGACGTTTTTGGAGCGTTGTAGGTTTGCTTGTATTATTTGGTGTTTCTTTGACATGCCCTTAGCAATAGGCCGTCTTTTCTCTAGCTAATTTATCCATTCTTATTCTGAGCGGGCAGACATTGCTAAAGGCGTTATGCTCTATTTTTTCATCCGAGTTTCTTGGATCCTTCTTGCAATTGACACAGCTGGGTTTTTGGTCCTTGTTTCCGCATGCGGCGTACAAATGATTTCCCCCGCAGTGGCAGCATATGTCCTGTAGCTCCTGACATTTCTGCTTGATATGGCCGTAGCCCAAGCAGCGGGAACACTGGATTAACGGGGACTGATCCTCCACAGCGGATATTCCCCACTTCAGTTGGATAGCCCCCGCCTCTGTCATTTGCCGCCACGTTATCAGGTCCACTCTCAGAACCAAGTTTGCCACATGCGGGTTCCTTGTCTTTTTCTGATATGCCAGCTCTATTGACTCCTCTTGTCCTTCCTTTCTCTTTCCTGTTTTTTCTATTTTCCTCTTCATTGCTTCTACCACCTGTTCCATCTTTTTTTCTCCTTAATGTTTTTTACTATTATTAGTGGGTTTCTATTCCTCGCATGTTCTATATTTAGTTTTTTGTTCTTTTCTTCTAATATACTCTTTAATTTTTTAGCTTCTTCATTCTTTGCGCAACTAATGATGACTTTCTGGTTTTTGGTTTTCTTGACCTTTATCACCTCGCACCAGTCCTCTTTCTCGTCTATTGACCTTTTTATCTCCTCAAAGACTTGTTCTCCTGTTTTGTCTTCTTCTACAGAATTTATAATTAACGAGTGATATGTGGTGCGGTTTTGTCTTTGTATCTTACCTTTCATAGCTTCTGCATATGTTCTATCTATCCTTTCTCCTTGTTTTCCTTCATGTTTTCCGCTTATATTTTCTTCTTTGTCTTTTTTAATGTCTATCAGTACTTCGTGTCCTTTCCTGCTTGCTTCTTTAATTTCCCTTATTTCCCTCATCATTTCGTCCTTCATGTTCTCCATTTGTTTTGCGCATTCCTCCATTTTCATTCTCATTTGTGCGATATCTTTTTCATTTGCTTCCATTCTACATTCCTTGCTCTTTATCTCCTTTAGTATTTCTATTTCCGTTTTCTTAATCTTATCGATTGTGTCCCTTTGATCGCAACTTTTACCTTTCTGTGCCTCTATCAAATCTCTTATTATTATGGATGTCTCCTCTAATTTCTTTCCCGTCCTTTTCTGTACTAACGCTTGTTCTTCACTTTGTCTCGTATTTTTGACCACTTCACTCATAAGATTATGTGCTGTGTTCGTGAAGTCGTTTCTCTGGCGAACTTCCTCCTCCATTCCTTCCTGGAGGCCTTTCAATAGAGCTCTCATCTCAGTCTTTATGTCTTGTTCTGTTGTCTGTATTTTGTTTATATATTCATCTCTTGATAGCTTTCCTTCCTTGTCCTTCAAACTTAATCTGTTTGTTGTTTCTATTATTATCTTTTGTAGTTTTTCAACTTCTGCTGTTATTTGTCCTTTATTTTCTAAGTTTTTTATGTGAAGTGCTATCTCTTTGTAACATATTTTCCCTTCTTCTATTAGGTCCAGCCATCTTTTTGCCTCCAAGTCTCCCCTTTCCATTGGCTTATGTATCTTTTTATTTTCCTTTTTTTGTGTGTTTTGGGGCAGCGGTTGTGACGTTTCGAGTATCGTAGGATTTTCCTTTGTGGGCCGATTTCTCCCTTTTGTTTCTCTCTTCTCCATTTTTCCCGTTCGAAATTAATTTAGTTTGTATATGTTTCAATAGAGTTTAGTATTTTGTTTAAAAGCCTAAAATTGTGTATATTTCAATTAATTAATGACTCAAAAGAGATTATTTGTTAAAAAGAATGAAAATAAATAATTAAAAGTTTTTAAAATTCTTAAAAAGATTAAAATGACTAGATAATTTACTATTAAAATTGAATTGAATAGAAATATAATGAATTAAATTAGGTTAAAATATTAAAATATTTACAATAAGTTAAAATAAGATAAATGAATTTGAATTGTTATTAAGTTATTATTATTAATTTTTAAAATTGAATTGTAATAATTAAATGAACCAGATTTCAAACGAGATTATAGAGATTAAAAGAAGAATAATTTATTTTATGACTCAATAGAGATTATTTATTAAAAAGTTTGTATAAGTTATATAAGGAGACTAGGACAACACAATACTTACTGCTAATGACTAGATAATTGCAGCCCTTGTAGAGTTTATGTTTGTATAGAGTATATGTGTGTATCGTGTGTCTTGTGCCTGCCTCAGCTGTGGGGAAAACTTTCGTCGCTTTGTAAAATATTTTGTTATTTTTAGTTTCGATTCTCTTTTGTTTTCAAGGTTTCCTAATCCTAACTAACCTATGTCAAAAGTTAAAATATTTAAAAAGTTTTTATAAGTTGTATATATATACAATACAACACTCAATATAATATATTATAAATTAACCCAATTTGGACTTATTTGAAGTCAACTTAATGAGCGTCAGGACTTAATTTAACTATAATAAATTTACACAGAATATTAAAAACCCAATAGGGTGGACGTCACAAAATAATAAATAGTCTAAAATACTAAATAATAAGTTTTAATTATAAATTAAGTCCATAAGATTATTTTCTAAAATCCAATAAGGTAAAAGCGTTTAAAAATTGTCAATAATTGGGTTTAAAACTTAAAACTATGAGGTGCCCCAATAGGGTACACTGTCAGTTACACAATACAATAAAAAATTTTATATGTCGATTGTCAATATTTTTTGGGAAAGGGTGAAAATTTAAAATAAATAAAACAGCGATTTTTTATTAGTAACCTTTTGTAAATATGGTTCTTTGTCTTTCTTATTCTTTTGTCTCTATTTCTGTTTCCTCTCACAATTTTTTCAAAATTTTTTGCTCAAAAATGGCATAGTTCGCCTCTTTCCCGAATTTTCCGGGATTTTCTTAGAAAATCCTGGGTCTGGTTTGTTACGTCCTGCTCGATCTGATAGTGCTCTTCAAGCCCTATCACCCGATACCTCTCTTACCTTTGTACGATTTGTAGTTTTGGAGATATTCCTTGGCCAAAATCGCCAAAAAACTCGGCTCGAAAGGGACGAGTGCCGATAACTCCGAAACTAGCCCCTCAAAGTTTTGGGATTAAGGTAAGGAGGGTTAAGGGTTAAGGGTTAAGGGTTAAGGGTCAAGGGTCAAGGGTCAAGGGTCAAGGGTCAAGGGTCAAGGGTCAAGGGTCAAGGGTCAAGGGTCAAGGGTCAAGGGTCAAGGGTCAAGGGTCAAGGGTCAAGGGTCAAGGGTCAAGGGTCAAGGGTCAAGGGTCAAGGGTCAAGGGTCAAGGGTCAAGGGTCAAGGGTCAAGGGTCAAGGGTCAAGGGTCAAGGGTCAAGGGTCAAGGGTTAAGGGTTAAGGGATTTGAGGAGGAACAAAGGTTTTTGGCATCAGTGGTAAATATGTACCGAAAATGGGATGTGAGACGGAGCATTTACAGAGTTAAGTAAGGAAAACAGAGTAGTAAGAGCTCGCATACTTCTGCGCTGCCGAATGGTCGTCCATTTTAATTGAAATCGGTATGCGGACACATTTCGATCTCAATTAAAATGGATATTTTTTGAGCTTTCTGAACAAATCGAATGCAGTTATTCAAACGTCGGTCGAGTTTATTTTGTAAACTTTTTGACGAGTTGAAGCTTGAGTCTAGATGTAATCCTAGATCTTTTACACTTGGGCTAAAGGGATCGAACTTCCTTCGTACATATTGGACCCATGATTACTGAAGTTAATCTTCTTCATTATTCGTTGCCCCCCCCAATAGTATAGCTTGGCATTTTGAAGGATTAACAGAGACACCAAAATTATTCGACCAGATTTTTATAGCTACTAAGTCTCTATTAATATTACACTTTAAATATACTGTGCTATTGCTTTAACCATAATCTACTGTTATACGTTTAATACATAATTAATGCAAGTGAATTTAAAACAAATTGATTGGACATACTTTATTCATTTAAATCCCATAGATTTTAGTATAAGTCCTGCAGCCATTAGTTCCAACAAATATAGCTTTGCGTTTTCGCATTCGGTTTTCTACAGCTGATGAATGTTTCTTTGTGCTGGTATTTTTAAATCTCTATTTTTTCGAGAGATTCAAATTTCATGTTGGTATTTACTCTGTTCCTCGGTTGAAATTAACGAATTACAGAAACTTTTATCCATCATCCACTTTCATTACTCATTTCATTCATGCTCGCCAGTTGTCATAGCTTTTAACAATATGCAATTGATTTGATCATGATTTGTGTCGTTTACTTGGCTTCTGCATCCTTCCAATTTTCCGTTGTATATCAGTTTTGTCATTCTTTCATACTCCACAAATTCTGCGTTACGAACGCATCTCGACTATATTTATTCTAATTACATGTTCTCTTTGAGATATACAACTCTTTCTATCATATCTTTGTTACTAGTAATTAATTAAAGAAAGGAAATATACAAAGTCATATAACGAAACACGTGATTCTTTATTACGTGAGAGCTATTTGTTCAAAAGCCCGAATACATCCTGAAAGTGGAAATTTCTAATTTACATATGCGAATACTGAAAACTGAAATGCTGTTTGAATTAACAGAACTGGAGTCTTACTCTACTGGAATAAAGTCTGGAACTGTGGATTATATAAATTTTATACGTTTAATTTAAAACTGCTTTGATAAATTAATTCTTTTGATCCTTTTGTTACCATTGATTTTATATTAATTTAAATTTCCATTCAGCATATTCCATATAATTTTCGTTTTGATTAATTTTAAATCACATTTAATAACTTTGTCACATTTAATATTAAATTTACGCGTCGCCATACCTTCAATGTTTTTAGAATCAGAATATTAAATTTATCATTAGTATAATTTCTCATCGAAGTTTCATAAAAAAATATTTCATTCATTATTAAAGTAATACTGCATTATAAGTAAGATCGCCTCTCTTATTGGTTGATTTATGTTGTTTTAAATTTCACTTACATTAGAAATTTTATTCATCATCATCATCGGCCCTTTGACGTCCCCACTGCAGGGGCTCAGGCCTTCCCTAAGGATGGTTATGGAGGATGGGCCATGACCCTCCACGCTGGCCCAATGCGGATTGGAGGGTATTAACGACTGCAAATGCAGCCGGGACCAACAGCTCAACGTGCCTTCCGTAGCACGGAGTAGCTCGAGATAATAATTTTTTGGTCACCCATCCCGTGACCGACCCTTGCGAAAGTTGCTTAACGACAACGATCGCGGGCCGCGGCGCTTATCCACTACGCCACCGAGTTACTCGAAAGAAAAATAAATTTTATTACGATATTGGTATCGAAGTACCTTGATTTTAATGAGTCCTCAATATTTTATTTATTTAGTTTTATTTTACAAATTCATCTTAATATTTACATACCTTCAAAATCACAACAATTCCTAGTTTTAGTTCGAATACCAAATACAAATATGTAAAAAAGCAATAAACCACTGTAGTATTGGTTTATATGTGCGCGGCGGCGTGTCACCCCGTAGTATGCGGTGAGATTAAACAACTGTTAATTAATTCCATCTAATGCTTACAATAATTAAATAAACATCGAATTTAGAGCTTTTAATGAGTTTTGTTTGTGCAAATGTGATTTCCTGTAATTACTGATTAAAATATGGAGCTCCACTAAATTTTTGGTCACAATTCTACGACCAGCTCGCGCGAAAATTTAAGCACCTCATCGCACACTGGCCAAACTAACCATTACACCGTGGTCAAAGTCAAACTTATTAATTTGATTAGAATTTGGTTACAAGATCTTAAAAACTTCTATATTACTATTGCTATTCAGTTAATACTCATTAATATGCAAAATTATTAAATTTCAGAAATATAGTTACGTTAAAATAACTCGTTTACTAATTTAATGTCAAAATCGGTTTCTGTATTCTAAATCTTGATAATAATATATGATTTCAAAACAAAAGTCCAGTAAAAGTATTAAACAAATATGGCAGCTGTCTGGCCGACAAGTGCCTAAATGTGTAACAACCAAGAGCCAGTCATATAACATTAAATATAATAATACAGAAATTGCAGTAAGAAACCTTAGGCTTGGCTTGTCTAGAGAGTTTATGACTTTCTAGAGGTAAACAAGCAGCTCCTTTGAGACTTGGATATTTTTTTTTACTTTTGTAGACTTTTTTTACCATCGTATGTAGTTTGAAAACCAAATAAGTATGTCACTATTTCTGGTGTTTCTTAGGTCTTTAGCTCTAAGAAAGAGCTAAGAAATATTGTTGTTCCATATTATAATTCTTGCTCTCTTTGTGAAAAAACAATGAAGGTTGATAAGTAATGAATAATAAATACTAAGTTCCTATTTTCAAAGTTTCGTAGAAACTGCGGTGGGCGTAGCGAATTACGATTCATGAATTGTGAATTAGTCGTCATTCAAAAGAACGTTCACCACACCCGACAAACGTATACGAGGAACTTTGTCGAGGACTTCACTTTAGCCAGTCGTATCGCAAAACGTAAATGTCTAACTAATCAGGGACACAAATTAATAGCGGAAACCAATGTTTTGCTTTACATAACAATTCCAAAAAACTCAATAACAAATTGGAAGTAACAGCGAGCTTGAAATATAATGACTAATGAAAAATACAGACTGAGGTACCCAAGTTTTATGTCCCGGTCAGATCAGA